CGCAGTGGCTGAGACTGCTGCTGCAGCGCAGGCCCGTTCTGGGAAGGGCCGCCGCCCCAAGGCTGGGCGCGGCGGAGGGGGCGGCGGGGGTGCGGGCGGGGGTAGTGGTGGGGTCGGGTCGCCTGGTGCTGGAGCGGACGAGGGGACCCTGCCCAGTCCAGCTGAGTCGCCGCCCCTGCAGTTGCAGCAGCCGCCGCAGTCGCAGCCTTCGCAGCAGCCGCAGCAGCCGTTGCAGACGCGGCAGACGAGTGTCCTCCCGCCAGGGTGGCCCGGCGCTGGCGGTGGACGGGCGCGTGGTGGTGTGCCGCGTGGTGGCTCTGCCGGCGGCCGTTGTCAGTACCAGATCCAGACCGGTCCTCGCCGCGGCTTCGTTTGCGGTAAGATCGGTCACTCCACTCCCCGCTGTTTTCGTCGCCTGGACGACCTCTTTCGTCAGCGCTTCGGCCCGTCGCCAGACCTCCCGGACTGGCACAGTTTGCTTAGTCGACAGATTCAGATCTTTGATATGGACATGGATGCTATTGTTTCTGCTCTGCATGTGATGTATGCTGATGACTCTAGTGTGCTTCCGGCTTATTACTCACTGTTGCCTAGTGTAGGTGTGCCTAGTGTACCCTCCCCTGCTGCGTCAGGCGTAGGATCCCTTGCTTTGTGTAGTCTTGGTGCTTCTGCCGTCGTTCCGTCGCCAGCCCCCTCGGCTTCGCTTTCCTTCACCTTGGACTCTGGCGCCTCTCGGTGTTTCTTCCGCGACTCCACCACCCTGACGCCGCTTCCTGTTCCTGCTGCCGTTTCTCTTGCTGACCCCTCCGGCGGTCCGGTAGTCGCCCGCAGTTCCACCACCCTTCCCTGTCCGGCGGTTCCGTCGGGCTCTCTTACAGGTCTGCATATCCCCTCGTTCTCCAGGAACCTAGTTGGTGTCGGCTGCCTCCAGGACCTTGGCGTCACCACTACGTTCCCTGGTCACGAGCGGTATGCTGTCTGTACTGAGGCCGCCACTGGTGCCCCCCTGTCCACGTTCCCCCGGGACCCGGTATCCGGCCTGTTCACTCTGGACACCGTGCCCCCCCCGGCTGGAGCGCCCCCTCAGGTGGCTGTGTCTACCCAGGTTGCTGCTGCCTGCTCCTGTCGCTCCCTCACTCACCCGACCCTCCTGTGGCACCACCGCCTAGGTCACCCTACGCTCCCGCGTCTGCGTCACATGTCCCAGCACGGTCTTGTCCTTGGTCTCCCAGGTTCACTCCCCGCGTTTCCCTCCTCCCCAGCTCCACCTTGCACGCCTTGTGTCGAGGGTCGGCTTCGCCGTGCCCCTCACTCCTCCTCGTTCCCCCCTACCGCCGCGCCGCTGCAGACCCTGCACCTGGACGTCTGGGGCCCCGCCCCCGTCCCTGGGCCGCGTCGTGAGCGCTACTTCCTTGTGCTTGTCGACGACTTCACTCGTTACACCACAGTCTTTCCCCTGGAGCGCAAGGCCGACGTGCCTGGCGCCCTTGGCTTGTCTCTGCGCGTGTCCACCGCGGTCTCCCTGTCTTGCGTCTTCACTCAGACCGTCGTGGCGAGTTTGCCTCCGGTGTCCTTGGTCGCTTTTGTCGTGCGGAGGGCATCACCCAGACGTTCACCCTACCGGACTCCCCACAGCAGAATGGGGTCGCTGAGCGACGCATCGGTTTGGTCATGGAGGTCGCTCGCACCTCCATGGTCCATGCCGGTGCACCCCATTTTCTGTGGCCGTTCGCTGTGCGCTACGCTTCTCACCAGCTTAACCTGTGGCCGCACCCTCAGCAGCCGCAGGTTTCGCCGACCCGTCTGTGGACTGTGTCTCCTGGTGACGCGTCTGCGTTCCACGTCTGGGGCTGCCTTGCTCACGTCCGTGCCTCCGGCACGGATAAGCTCACTGCCCGCACTCTTCCCTGCGTCTTCCTCGGTTTCCCCCTTGACGCGTCCGACTGGCACTTTTACCACCCGCCGTCTCACCGCTTCTTTCACTCTCGTGACGTCACCTTTGACGAGTCCGTCTCCTACTACCGCCGCTTCCCCCACCGTGGTCCCCCGGTTACCCCCCCCCTGTTCCTGGTCACCCCTTCCCCGGTAGTCCCTGCCCCTCCTCCTCCTCCTCCCCGTCCTGCCCCCTCTGGTGTCTCCCACGTCACCCCCCTTCCGTCCGTGGACCCGGTTGAGGAGTCTTCTGACTCTGGTGGCCCTCCGGTGCAGTCCTCACCGGCCGCCCCTCCCCAGGTGTCCCCTCCCTAGTCCCCTCCTCTGCCGCCCCTGCCGCCGCTGCAGCCGTCGCCGTCGCCGCTGCCGCCGTCGCCGCCCCCGTTCGCTGACTCTGGGGGTGCTCGTCCCGGTCGCCCTGCGGGTGGTCCCTCTGGGGGTGCGGGTGTGGAGAGTGCCGGTGGTAGCCGAGGAGCAGCTTGCGGTCCAGGTGTCGCCGTTGTGCCGCCGCAGCAGCAGTTCCCACCGGTGTCCGCCCTTCGCCTGCTCGGCCTTCCGTCCCCCGACCCTGCGTCGGTTCCTCCCCGCCCGTCTCCTCCTCTTCCTGTCTACGGCCCTGTTTTCCCTCCGCCGGACTCGTCCCCGGCCCGTCTCCCCCCTCGTTCCCCTCCTGTGTCCCCTCCCCTGTCTCCTGACCCGACTCCTCCGTCCCACGTCTGGTCTCACCGTCCCTCCCGTGCTCGTCCTGCCTCGCCTGTCTTGCGCTCCCACCCTATGTTGCTTCGTTCACACGCGTCTCGTCCTCCCCTTCTGCCGTCGCCTCCTCCGTCCTTCCTTGTTGTTGCGCCCCCCCCGCTGTCCGACTACCTTCGTGCCGCTCGTCCTCTCGTTCCTCGGGTCCTTGCCTCCCTCGTTACTGACCCGTCTGTTCCGGTCTCGTGCCTTGACGCTCTTGTCGCTGCTGTCGCTGACTTCGCCTCTACCCGCCGCCTTGAGTACGCCACCGCTCTGGTCTCTGACCCTGCCTGTCCTCCGTCTGTCGGGGGTGCTCCTGCCCTTGGCAGTGACGTCCTGGAGGACCGCCAGTTCGAGCTTGCTTTCCTCTCCGAGGCTGCTCCCCATCTCTGTTCCATGCTGCTAGTCCCTGAGGGTGACCCAGACGCTTTCGACATCCCGACCCCTCGCACTTACGCTGAGGCGACTTCGGGACCCTGGGCCTCGCAGTGGATAGCTGCCATGGAGCAGGAGATGGCATCTTGGAGATCCACCGGCACCTTCGTCGACGCAGTTCCCCCGCCTGGGGTGAACGTAGTCGATGGCCGCTGGATCTTCAAGGTGAAGCGCCCTCCTGGAGAGCCGCCTGTCTTCAAGGCGCGCTATGTGGCTAGAGGCTTCAGTCAGCGCGAGGGGGTGGACTTCTTCCAGACTTTCGCTCCGACCCCGAAGATGACTACTCTTCGGGTTCTGTTACACCTAGCTGCTCAGCGTGACTACGAGCTTCACTCACTTGACTTCTCCACTGCCTTCCTTCAGGGCAGTCTACACGAGCAGGTCTACCTGCGCCGTCCTCCGGGCTTTACTGGCACCTTCCCTCCTGGGACCCAGTGGCTCCTGCGGCGCCCCGTCTACGGCCTGCGCCAGGCTCCCCGTGAGTGGCACGACACTCTGCGTGCTACGCTTGCTGACCTGCAGTTCTTTCCGTCTTCTGCAGACCCTTCACTCTTCGTTCGTGCTGGCCAGACTCCGTTCTACATCCTCGTTTACGTCGACGACCTGGTCTTTGCCACAGCAGACAGGGACGCGCTGGCCTCCGTGAAGGCAGAGCTGCTGAAGAGACACACCTGCACTGACCTTGGAGAACTGCGCCGTTACCTTGGCTTGCAGATCTCCAGGGACAGAGCTGCGCGCACCATCACCCTGACTCAGTCACACTTGGTGCGCCAGGTCCTTCAGAGGTTCAGCCTTCAGTTCTCCTCTGCACAGCCCACCCCTCTGCCTGTAGACCACAGGCTCTCCGCTCCAGTGCCTGAGGAGTTGGTAGAGCCCAGCGGCCCCTACGCAGAGCTGGTGGGTTGCCTCATGTACCTGATGAATTGCACTCGCCCAGATCTCGCATACCCTCTCAGCATCCTGGCTCGCTTTGTGGCCACAGGCAGACACCGACCGCAGCACTGGTCTGCCGCTAAGAGGGTTCTGCGTTATCTTGCTAGTACATCGGGCATGGGGTTAGTGCTAGGAGGACGCAGGCCAGCGATCCTTACTGGGCACACAGACGCTTCGTGGGCAGACGACGCTGAGACTCTCCGGTCTACCCAGGGCTACTGCTTCAGCCTTGGCTCAGGTGCCGTCTCGTGGAGAGCTACTCGCTCCTCGTCTGTTGCACAGTCCAGCTGAGAGGCTGAGATCTACGCCGGTGCCATGGCGGCACAGGAGCTCCGCTGGCTGACCTTCTTGCTCACTGACTTAGGTGAGCGGCCTAGCTCTGCCCCGGTCCTGTTCGCTGACAACAGGGCCATGATCCTCCTGTGTCAGGAGCCTCGACTCGAGGGCAGAGCCAAGCACATTCAGCTGCGGTACTTCCTCCTGCGTGAGCTACAGCAGCGACGTCAGGCTCGCGTAGTACACTTGGCCTCAGGTGCCAACACGGCTGATATCTTTACGAAGGCACTTGCGCCTAAAGATCATCAGCGGCACTGTGTACAGCTTGGTCTAGTTCCTGTAGCCTCTCACTTGCTAGGACCTTGACTTTGTACTGTCCTTTATATGTATACTCAGACTGGACTTGTGTCCTCTCCCAGTGGCTGGACTAGTAGTACCGCCCTGCACTTGTGCTTGCCTTGTCTGTACTCCTTCTGACTGGTCGCTCAGACCCTTGTCTCAGAGGTTGGACTAGTAGTGCCGCCCTGAGCTGTTTGTTTAGGACTTTCCCCTATGCAGTCTAGGGGGTGTGTCAAACATGTCTATGTGTAGGGTAGCCTCTTAGAGGGTACAACACTTAGCTATATTGTGTGTACTCTCTCTGTATCACCAACACTTCAATTTCTGATAGGTGTGTCAAACATATCTTTGTATGTTGTTTTAGACTACACAGGGTTGTGCCTTAGAGGTTACAACCCACTAGGTTTTATTCCTTTGTATGCCATTGTTCTAGTCATTTTCGTTAACTCCAACATTCCGCCACTGCCTCCTGCCTGAAAAATCCGTCTCTCGTTCCTCTGTAACCTTGCCGTTTGAAGAGTTTACTTTGGCAGGTCCAATGCCGGTCCGTGATGCAGATCCCAGGAGCAAACCCGTCTCCAATTCCCCATACGTATCACCCTCCTCCTCCTGACCAATCACGAATTTCTCCTCTGCCTCTTGGAACCCATACCTACTTCGTCCTCCTCTTGCACCTTGCCATGTGAAAGAGTTGACATTAGCAGGTCCAATGCCGGTCTGTGATGCAGATCCTCGGAGCAAACCCAGCTCCAATCCCTTGTAGGTTCAAACCCCCGGATCTCACGCTCCTCCTGTCCAATCACGAGTTCCGCCTCTGCCTCTTGCCTAGAGAATCCACCCCCCTTTCCCCTTGCACCTTGCCGTTTGAAGAATAAACATTGGCAGAGTTGACATTTGCTGAGTTGACATTGGGAGATCCAATCCTGGTCTGGGATGCAGACCTCAGGAGCAGAGTCAGCTCGTCTTTCTGCAAGCCACCAATCCCAGCCTGCAAAGAAGCAGCAGCATGACCACTTTGGGTCAGAGCAGCCGCAGCAGGAGCAACTTCTGTTTCCAACGCCCCTCTTCCACTCCCTCCCCTTAAATCTCCCCCTCTCTCTATCCCCATTTCTATCCCCCTCGCCCTCCCACTCTCTCTCCCAGTCCTGCTCCCTCCCTCCCTGCCTGCAGCTACACCAACGTACGCGTTAGAAGCTTCCTCAGAAGAAGCCCTGCTGGTGTACGCTGTTCTGAGATGTAAGGGAATGCCCATGGCTGTTGTGCGGAGAGCAGTGGCCAGGTGTGCATGGTCCGGGTTCGTAGCAGGCGGGCTTGCCATCTCAGTGCGCGTTATAGCTGTTGAGGGGGGTGTTAGTGATGGTGGTATTAACGAATGTGGTATTATTGAAGGTGGTGTTAAAAAAGGGGGGGTTGATGTTGGTGGTGGTGTTACTGAAGGGGGTGTTATTGAAGGGGGTGTTACTGAATGTGCTGTAGCTGGAGGTGATGCTATAGAAGGTGGTTGTAACGAAGGCAGGGTGTTGTAACGAGGCAGGGTGTTGTAACGAGGCAATGACCCGAGGTACTGCAAGCCCAGTTGCCCGTGTGTGAGACTCGGACCGTGGCTGAGGTTCGGGCCATGGCTGAGGCTTAGATTGCGGCCCGGGTTTGGTCCAAAGCTGAGACTCGGACCGTAGCTGAGGCTTGGTTGGCTGTCTGCACCTCCAGCTATTTCCTGCCGTTGAGGCTCTATGGAATGACCAGCAGCAGCAGCCACAGCAGCAGCAGCAGCCACAGCAGCAGGAGCAGCGACGGGAGAAACGAAAGCAGCCAGAGCAGCATGAGTGGGAGCGTCGGCAGCAGCAGGAGGAGAAACAACACACGTGGCTGCAGCGGCTTTGGCGTCCCTGGCAGCATCGGCGGCACCTGCTGAAGCGCCACGTTGCAAGCTCGCCGTTGTGTGAGTTCGGGCCTCAACACTGCCAGCAGCACTGGCAGCAGCGGCCGTACCAATACTAGCGCCAGCACTGGCAGCAGAAGCAGCAGCACCGGCACTAGCACCGGCATCAGCACTAGCAGCAGCAGCAGCAGCACTGCCGGTGCTTGCCCCTGATGTGGATGGGAGGCGTGCATTCGCCTTGTGCTTGGATGGGGTGGATGACGTGGGTTGCAAGGAGCGAGTGGGGCGACATTCACCTGCTGACGTACCACCACCACCACTCCCTCTCCTTCTTTCACCTAGCCCATCTCCACCTCCTCCTTCCCCTTCTCCCCCTCCCCCCCCCCCCCCTCCTCCCCCTCCTCCCCCTTCCCCTCCTCCTCCCCCTCCCCCCCCTCCTCCCCCTCCTCCTCCACCTCCGCGTTTGCTTCCTGCAGCTGCCGCTGCAGCAGCTGCACCCTTTTGCGACGTCCTCTTGCGTCGCGCCACGTGGCAAGTCATGTGTCCCCCAAGCGCCTGCGATGTGGGGAACGTGTTCCCGCAGATGGGACAAGAATACCCGCCCGGCCTCTGCCCCCGCATATCAGGAAGTGGGCCCAGCTGAAGCTGAGATCGAGTCTCTGGGGGAGCTGATGACGGGGCGCTGAAACCGGTGCTAGACGAAACTGTAACGGGTGGAGTTAACACGGGAGTTGAAACGGACTGGCGCAACTGAACATCCTCGTTTGCTGCTGAAGATATCAATGCTGGAGATATCAATGCTGAAGATATCAATTCTGAACCCGAACCGAAGAGTGATCCTGATGCAAACCCGCGTGCTGTACCACCACCAGCGGCACCTGCAGCACCACCAGCACCAGCCGTTCCAGCAGCAGCAGCAGCGGCGGCGGCGGCAGCGGCGGCTGCTGCAGAATTCGCTGCTGGATAGGCACCTGGTGCTTGTCGCGATGAGGACAATAGGGCCTGCATTCTATCACTCAAGACAGTGTGGGTCCCTTGCTGCTGCTCTGTTGGCTGTGCCTGTAGTGCTTGAAATTGTGCCTGTAATTGTGCCTGTAACTGTGCCTGTAACTGTGCCTGTAACTGTGCCTGTAACTGTGTCTGTAGTTGTGTCTGTAACTGTGCCTGCTGTTCTGCTGCCTGCTGCTGTGCTTGCTGCTGTGCTTGCTGCTGTGTTTGCTGCTGTGCTTGCTGCTGCGTCTGTTGCTGTGCTGCTTGCTCCTCGTGCCTCTGTTTCGCTTGCTGCTCCAGTACCCGCTGCCGAAACAGCAGCCGTTGCAACTGCTGCTGCTGATGAATACCCTGCAGTTGACTCAGCTGCTGCTCTTGTAGTAAGTACCCCTCCTGTTGCTCCCGCAGATGCTCCTCCAGCTGCTGCATCTCTTGCCGCCTCAGTCGCTGCATCTCCTGCCATTGTTGACTCCCCTGCTGCCGCAGCAAGGTTTGCTGCTCAGCATCCGGCTGACTGGTCCGCTGCTGCATCTCTTGCCGCCTCAGTCGCTGCAGATCCTGCCATTGGCTCTCTTGCTGCTCTTTCTGCACCAGGGCTTGCCGTTCAGCGCCCTGCTGCTGCTGCTGCTGCTGCTGCTGCTGCTGCTGCTGCAAGGCTTGCTGCTGCATCTCTTGCAGAGCCAACAAGGAGGACTGATGCAATCCCGGTGAGTCGAGGGCTCCAATGAGAGAACCAGGGAGAAATCCGCGCGGCTGCTGCTGAAGGTGCTGCTGCTCGTGCTGCTGCTGCTGCTGTGGCTGCGGCTGCTGGTGCTGCTGTTGTGATTGCTGCTGCTGCTGCGGCTGCGGCTGCGGCTGCGGCTGCGGCTGCTGGTGAATCTTCTTCTGCCGCAGCTCTGACTGCTGCGCCTGCTGCTCCTCTTGCTGGAGTCTCAGTTGCTGCAGCAGCAACAGTTGTTGCTGCAAGAAAGAACCCCTATTAGCAGCAGCAGCTGTTGCAGCATGAGCCTTCCTCTCTGCTGCCCCTTGCAACCCTCTCATGCCAACGCTTCTGCTTTTTATTCCTGGCATCTCCGTTTCCATGCCTGTTCCCATGCCTCTCCCCATGCCTGTTCCCATGCCTGTCCCCATGCCTCTCCCCACGCATGTCCCCATGCTTGCCCCCATGTCTCTTCCCATGCCCGACTCCATGCCTGCCTCCATGCCTCTCCCCATGCCTGACTCCATACCTGGCCCCACCCCTGTCACCGCTGTTCTCCCCTCATCCACCCTCCCTCCAGCTTTCCACTCAGACTCATCCGTTTCCTCTCCATCTTCTCTTGTCATTCTGCTTCCTTCCCTTGGCCTAGGACTTTCCTCCCTCTCTTGTCTCCTTCCTTCCCCTACCCTTCTTCTTTTTTCCCCTGGTCTTGACCCCTCCTCCCCTGACCTCGTTTTTTCTTCTCCTGCCCGTTGTCTGTCATCCCCTGACCGGATTCCAAACAGATCAAGCAGTCGTGATGAAGGAGACGTCATGGGGACTGAATCCTGCACAGAATGTGACTCTAACAGTATGCCTGGTGACTGTGACTGTAACGAACCTGCTTGTAGAGGGGGACTAACTGCAGCAGCCGCACCATGGGCCACATGATCTCGTGGAGATCTGGGCGGCAGCAGTGATAGCGTTTCCAAGCGATGCCGGCCGACGCCAATGCCCGCCGAGGCCTCTCCGCCCAGAGAAACCGCTGCTGTTGCTGCCTCCTCTGCCGTTTGCCACCTGGTGCCGGCCGCTGACGTGGCAAGGAGGGGTGATGACGCGGCCATGTTAGGCGAGTCAAGAAGAGAGGATTCATCGCGAGGAGGAGGAGGAGGCGGAGGAGGAAGGCGGGGAGGAGGAGGGGCGGGAGGGGGGGGGCTTGTTAAGGGTTTAGAAACTGTTCTCATTCCCCTGGGAGAAGGGATAACCCCAGGGGAAGGGAGGGTAGGGGAAGGAATGACTCTAGGGGAAGGGATTAAAGAGGCTGCTGACGTCATCACTGTGTGGATGGTGGAGAGGGACGACGAGGAGGAGAGCCAGCCCATCCGCTCCGGTACAGGCAGATCCGTGAATAGATTAAGTGAGCTTCGCTGCTGCTGCTGCTGGTCGCGTTCTACCAGCGTTGCAGCAGCGGCAGCAGAAGCAGCAGTGACAGCAGACGCAGCAGCAGCAGCAGAAGCAGCAGCAGCGGCAGAAGATTCGGTGAGTGCTGCGAAGGGGAGAAAGGGTGGCGGCCTCTGGAAGAAGAAGCTCACAGCAGCCGTCCCAGGGGGAGCCGTGCCTGCGCCGCCTGCGGTGGCAACGGCTGTGGCTGTGGCTGCGGCGGCGACAGCGGCTGAGGCGACAGCAGCATCAAGGGAGGGGTTTAAGGAGAAGCGTGGCGCTTGCTGGAAGGCAGCACTTGGAGCAGCGGCGGCAGTGTTGAGGGTAGGGTTGAGAGAGAAACGCGGAGCCTGCAAAAAGGCAGCACTGGTAGAGGTGGCAGCAGCTGTGGCTGTAGCTGCGGCGGCGGAGGGGTTTAGAGAGAAGTGCGGCGACGACGCGGTAATGGCAGCAGTGGCAGTGGCAGCGGCTTCGTTCTCCTGCTGGTGCTGCTGCTGCTGCGGCTGCTGTTGCTTCTGAGGCTTCTGCTTCTGCTCCTGCTCCTGCTCCTGCTGCTGCTGCTTCTGCTCCTCCTCGAAGCAGGCGAAATTCAGCGAAAGGAAGTTACCATCAGAAACCGCACCTAATAGTGCAGCTTGAGAGACGTCCCTTCGCCTGTCGCCTGAGTCTGAAAGCGGCAGATGATGCGGCCGCTCTTCCCCGCCGTCCGAGGGCGCGTTCTCGGGGCTCAACCCGGAGTTCAAATCGAACTCCATGATAGAGTTGGTATGAACAGCTTGGTGTCAGGTGAGCTTTGAACTTGCCACTTGAACCCTCAATCCAGCGTCCAGAACCAGCTTCGCCTTGGCAACAAACCAAGTCCCCGCCTCGCCTACTGATTGTTAAACAGCGACCGTCCAAGCCTCAACCCCCCACTTGGCGCACTCCTCCAGCGTCCAGAGCCAGCTTCACCTCACTGGCAGCAAACCAAGCCTCCGTCTCGTCTCGCTGTTCTCATCAAGTTGGAAGGTGACCGTCCAAGCATCGTCAGCGCCGTCAAATCCTTCCGAATGCTTTCAGCGGCTCTCAGAGGCTTTCAGAGGCTTTGTAAGGCTTTCAGGGGCTTTGAAATTCAGAGGATATGAAAGGCTTTCAGAGGCTTTGTAAGGCTTTCAGGGGCTTTGAAATTCAGAGGATATGAAAGGCTTTCAGAAGGCTTTGTAAGGCTTTCAGGGGCTTTGAAATTCAGAGGATTTGAAAGGCTTTCAGAGGCTTGGTAAGGCTTTTAGAGGCTTTGTAAGGCTTTCAGAGACTTTGTAAGGCTTTTCAGAGGATTTAACCGGCGTCCAAGCCCTTGACGTTGACTGATCGATGACGGTGGTGACGGTGGCCGTCTGGAGGTTCTGATGAAGGAGCCGGCGGCGCTGGTGATGCTGACGGCGCTGGTTGTGCTGACGCACTTCTGCCGCCGTTCTGCCGCGGGCTGCGCTGTTTGTGCTGACGGCGCTGGCGCTGGAATTCCGGCAGGGTGAGAAGTTGCCGGCTCTTTGGACGGCATTCCGCAGAGATACTCTTATTTCTTACGTCTTTTAGGTTTACTAAATCGCCGCGAGTCGCGCCGAAAGTTATTCCACAGAGCTCGAGCTTCCGCTAGGTCGCGTTTAGGTGTTTTTACGTTTGAACGAATCGGCAAACGACGCGCGAGGGTCATAGATCGGCCTACTACGCTCTAACGTTTGGAGGACGCTTTTGAAGCTGTATTTGCCTGGGAAGTTAAAAGAACGACACTCAAGCTACTGCTATAACTTCCAGCGTCTGCGTCGAGAAACAGGCGGCAATCAGACCATCTGCCTGACTCCTCTCCTGGTCTCGCAGCCTAGAAGTGTGGCTCGTATTTCCTGACAAGAAACTCGCTCGCTTGTGCAAAAAATGCGCTGGCGTCCCCCCGCGAATCACAAGCTAGTGAGGCACTGAGCAGCAACTTGCGTCGCCCCATCATCGCTGAGCGATACTCCGGTTGATCCGAAACCACTGTAGCATCGCCAGCGTTTCCTCCACACAGCTTCACGGGAAGCTCCGTATGGTTCAGCTCAACTGAGGCTGCTCGTGCTCAGAAAACTATCTTGCTTCTAGCTCCCAGGTGTGTCCCTGAAAATGGTTTTCCATTTTCCTCCTGGGATCCTGTGTGTTGTGTGGTGGGGAAGCGATGTGGCATCATCCGCCAGAGCAACGTCTGTGGTGTCTGCCACCCGGAGCTGAGAATTTGATCCTTCCGCGCACTACGCTGCGCGCTTCGCCAATGGGGCGAGGGGGAAATGAGGATTTGATTCGCCTCCGAGGTTCACTGTTTTTTTCGTGCATTCCTCGCCATTCTGAGGAAAAGTTCTCTCGAAACCCTGAGAGTCTCGCCTCAGGCACATGCAGTACACTCTGATAAGCCCAGCCGAGCCCCAGTAGCAGCAATCGCGACGGATGGGAAATTGCGGGAATTTGTGACGCGAAGGTGGTAGTCGATGTGCAGAAGCAGCTTGCCTGTAAGGCAGGGGAGCTGGGGGTGGGAGGAAGAGGGGAGGGGGGAGGGGGGGGGGAGGACAATCACTGAAATTGGGTATCACTTGATGCTCAGTTGGTTGCGGAGCACATCACGTGAGGCTGGAGGGGAAGGTGAGCACACCCCTGGCACGTTTAGAATTCTGTGCACCAAATCCAGAAACTTTGGCATTCGACCCCACCGCCTGCTTGTGATTTCCGAGTCTAAGAAATCGCGCGCTGCTCACATGCGCAAAATCTGCCCCGCACGCACCCACACTTTCAGGATGCCCTTCCTCACCTCACCACATTGACACACTGGCTTCACTTATTGGTTGGAGGGGGAGCGCGGGGTGATCACTTGCTTCAATGTACAAGGGACTGAAGACTGACCGTGGATGATATGGTGGCCATAATCATTAAATCACCACCGATCCCTACGAGTACACGTATTTCTCATTCTCATTGGTCATGAGATTTGAAATTGAGGTATCGCAGGTTTCATGGCAAGTATGCCGGCTGAGGTTATTTGGGAATTACTCAAAGTCAACTGACCACTAGGCATTTGGGCAATTTTATTGCACCGACGCCTGCTAAGATGCCAACGTCGAAACAAAATGTTGGAGATTCTTAGGGGCAAGCAGGATCAAGCTTTGATCCCACAGTTCCCAAACGTGATAGCTCGCTTGGTAGTTGTGACCTGGCATATAAATGCCCCAATTGTTATACATGGAAATTTGCTTCAAAAGTATTTAAGCCCAACGCAGCTGTGTGTCTGTGGCCCTCGCCATCCGCAGCAACAGCTGTCCCAGCAACAGCTGTCCCAGCAACAACCGAATTTTGTGGTCAAAGACCAGCTCTTGCAGTTTTGCCCCCTGCTGCTGCGGACGAGCCAATAAGCAGAAGTTCCTGCTGGACAGAAGGCTTGGGATGGCGTGGAATGCGAGGCCCTGGGTTTTTTCTGACAACGCACGCCCACGCTTCAAAAAAAAAAAATCAGCTTTGAGCTTGCACCAATCCGCATGCCACAAATGTTCTCCGTGTGCATTGATGCTGGCCGCTGACGGTTTTTGGCCAATCGTTCAAAGATTGTCACGTGATAATGACGTCATATAAATGAATCATATCATCCGAACTGTATCAACACGATATGCTTGCAGCTGCTTGTCATTCTCTCTGGTGCGATGCTGGCACTGCCAGCTGAGCTGATGCGACATCACGTGACGGTCGATCAAATCCCCTACTCCTTGAGATAAGCAGTACGAAGGGGACGCATCATCCGTGCTTGCACGGATGATCGGTAATAAAACAACTCCACTCGGTAATTTCACAACTATGCATCATCCGTGCTTCCACCCTGCCTGCGGTAATTTCACAACTATGCATCATCCGTGCTTCCACCCTGAAAGTAGGCGGCAGAAAATTGTTTTATTATGACCTGACCATTTCTGAGTGTGTAGACAGTACTCCCTTTTCTCACGGTCTAAGCGCGGCAGACTCCACGCGGGCAAAATCTTTTAACACTGCCTAAGCTGACGTCCGGTTTCCTGACTCGAGAAAAAATAAATCGAGCATGAAACGTTTCGTATAGAAATATGAGCTGAATTTCGGGGAGAATACTCTCCGGATCTGGTCTTTAGGAGATGTTTTCGGGGGGGTGAATGCTCTCTCGGTGGCACCCCCGGTGAACATACTGAGTGTTAAATTACCGCGGGCTAGGTTTAGTGGATTCTTAAAATAAAACATGGATCGAAAACTGCAACATTTTCAAACCGACAAACAAGCTCCACCGTGTGTACAGCAGTTGCTGTCAACGAAGGCAACGCGGTGAGGGAAGTTGGAAACGGTCAAGCAAGCTTGCTGGCGTATCCCACGCTGTGGTTAAGGCGCGATATTTTGGTCACTCCCCGTGCTCACCCTGTGCTAATATGCCAGGCGCTAATATACATCCCCAATTGTTATACATGGCGAAATGAGGGAGTACGTATTCCGTAGAATCCTCCATACTAGAACAATGCCGAGTGTCAACTTTATACATATATTTGTATGTAGAAGTTATAGGCTAGATAGGTGTGTGTTCTTAAAGGGTAAAAATCCAACCCTACATCTCCCTTGTTCTCACTTGTTTCTATTCATTCTCGTATTCTAACATGGTATCATAATAGGTTAGGTCCGCCCACCCGCTTCCGCCCCTCGCCCAAGCATACCGCCCCGTCGTACCCTACCCTTACCGCGCCCCGCCGGCCCCTAGCGCGCCCGCCGGCCCCTCGCGTACCCGCCGGCCCCTAGCGTACAGCCGGCCCCTCGCGCACTTCGCCGGCCCCTAGCGTACCGCCGGCCTCTAGCGTACCGCCGGCCCCTAGCGTACCGCCGGCCCCTCGCGCACCTCGCCAACCCCTAGAGAGCCGTGCCGGCCCCTTAAAATGTACCACTTGTACAAATTGTATTGAAGCTTATGTACCAACCATTTCACCCACTCAAATGCCAAAAGAGCACAGTTGCCTTTAAATACACTGTTTAACATCTTGCAATCGCACCAGGTTACAGTTCAGTTATGTGTCCTTGCAATCGTGTCGGACTGCCGACCCTTGAACTTGCGATTGTTGAGTTACTAGTCAACTGTTAACGACAGTTGCACTTTGCAAATCACACGCATCCCTTGTAAAAGCGTACTCATACTTTTCAGATACAAGGAATTGGCTATACGAAAGCGGGTCTGACACATGTATTAGACATAAAACACCAATATCAGAGAGATTCGTGGGCCATATCAGCAAGATCCGAACGCGTATGATTGGGCACGTAAAAAATCACATTCGCCACAACCACACGAATCCTAGTCGGCCGCCCTAGCCTGCACCCTAGTCCTAGCCCGCTGGACGCACTGCCCGCTGCCCTCGCTGCACGTCACCTACTATATGTCGCCAGCTGCGCGCCACCCGCCACTCGCTGCCAGCTCTGCGCTGCCCGCTAGTCGCTGGCAGATGCGCGCCACCGCCGTGCGCTGCGCGCTGCTCGCCGCCAGCGTAGTCTGCAGCCCGCTACCTTCCTGCTTGCCCGCTACCAGTCGGCTCGCCGCCAGCTGCTTGCAGCCTTGCCAGCTGTCCGCTCGCCCGTCACTGGCCTGCTCACCGCCCGCAGCTCGTCGCACGCCTTCTCGCTGTCCGCTGCCTCCCGCCGGCCCATTCGCTTGCCGCGGCCCACTCGCCGCCTACCTACCGGCATGCCGCCGGCCTGCTCGCTGCCTGCAGCTCGCCGCCAGCTGCCTACCCGCCCACTTGCTGCGTGCCGGTTAGCGGCCCTACCGGACTGGCCCGCCCTTATCCGCCACGGTATTCCAATGTTTGACTTAGATATGGCTCAGATAGTGTGTCTGACTCATATTTTCTTGCTGTGTATACTCTAGAATCATCTGTTGTGTATAGTCTAGGATCCTCTGCTGTGTGTAGTCTAGGCTCCTCAATGGCCCGTACTGCGGCAACCCTCTCTTTCACACTGGACTCTGGCCCGTCTCACTGCTTCTTCCGAGACCGCACTGCACTCACATGGATTCCTGCACTGGTACTGGTCTACATCGCAGACTCGCCTACCGCATTCATTGCCCGAAGCACCCCAACCCTCCCTAGTCCAGCTGTCTCGTCCGACTCCCTTACTGACTTGCATATCCTCACGTTTGCCAGAAACCTGGTTGGTGTTGCTCATATTCTGGACCTCGGTATCACCACCATGTTCTCTGGCTACGAGAGGTATGCAGCCTGTACAGACGCAGCCACGGACGCCCGTCTCGCCACCTTTGATCACGGCCCTCTATTCGGTCTCTTCACACTGCACACAAAGTCCTCCCAAATAGTTGTGCCCACCTAGGTTGTCGCGTCCTACTCCGACGTCCCTCACCCACCTGACACTCCTATAGCATCACTGCTTAGGTCATCCTCCTCTCTCGCGTCTGCGTCATATGGTACAACACGGTCTACTAACTTGTCTCCCCATGTCGCTCCCCGCCCTCCCCGTCTTGGTAGCCCCCGCGTGCACCTCCTTCGTCGAGGGCCGGCAGCGCGCCACCTCTCACTCCTCCTCTTTTTCTCCGACCACTACTCCACTACAGACCCTGCGCATGGACATCTAAGACCCCACCCCGGTCGAGAGGCCTCATAGTGAGTGCTACTTCCTGGTTGTTTTCGACAACTTCTCCGGGTTTACCACAGTGTTCTCATTGGAGCGGAAGACCAATATGCCTGACGCCCTCCTCCTGTGGCTCCGAGTCGTTCGCACCCACCATTCCCTGCTCGTGCTCCGTCTCCACTACGACCGTGATGGCCAGTTTGCCTTCGGTCGTATTGGCGCGTTCTGCCGTGCGGAAGGCATCACCCAGACGTTCCCCTACCGGAATCTCCACAACAGAATGGGGTAGATGAGCTACGCATCGGCCTAGTCATGGAGGTGGTCCGCACCTCCGTGATCCATGCTAGTGCCCCAAAATTTATGTGGCCATTCACGGTGCAGCACGCGGCTCATCAGCTTAATCGATGGTCTCGCTCCTCGCGGCCGCATGTTTAGTTGACCCTCCTTTGGACTGGGCTTCCTGGTGACGCATCTGCGTTTCCCTTGCTCATGTCTGCAGCACCCGCATGGACAAGCTATCGGCTGGCACCCTCCCCTCTGTCTTCCTAAGGTTCCCGCACGACGCTCTTGACTGGCTATTCTACCACCCGATGCAGCATAATTTCTTTCACTCCTGTAACGTTACGCTTGACAAGTATGTCTCATTCTTTGCTCTTTTCCTTTACCGTGGTACTCGTGTTCAACCCTCCCCTCTCTTCGTCACCCCTCTTCCGCCTTCAGCTCCCCTCCCACCCTACCTAGCGCTATCTGGCGTCTCCCATGCCACTCCCCTACCTTTGGTTGGGCCTGTAGGGGAGTCTGCTGACCCTTGTAGCCCCGTAGTTGGGGGTGCGCCCGCTGCAGCTACGGGGCCTCTCCCCCCAGCCCCTATGCCCCAGGTACCTCAGTAGCCTCCCCCGCAGTCACCGCAACAGCCGCAGCTGTTATTGTCACAATAGGCTCAGATGTGCCTAAAATGAAAGATAGAGAGCACAGTTGGATTTCCGTCGGACGGCTTCAAATATTGATAACGATCTGATCTGTGCCTCAAACGGTGATCAATAATTTGGATCTGGAGCGCGTTGCTGTCGCCTATCAGCAGCAAGTTGAATCATGGAATTCCATGAAGATTTGACGACGCTATGGCGGTTTGACTGACAGGAGGTATAGCAGCCATTATAGTCTTAGATTACAAACTTAGCAAGACGAATCGAGATTGAGATAGTTCTCAGCCTCTACAAGCCTCAAGAGCCGAGGTCCAGGGTGGTGGTACACCACTACAGAGTCCCCAACCACGAAGGGACTAGAAAAAAACTCAACAAGGGGCTGGACCACGTGAATTGTAACACTACATGAAGTAGCATTACTATTTTCACTATTTTAATATTTATCCAATTCCCTTGGGCTTGAAATCTTGAGCTCTTGGTCTTGATTCTGCAAGATAAATTCTTCTTGAGTTGATGAGGGCTTGCTGCACACACTTGCGACGCGATGGACACTTCATACTTGACAAAATAAAAAAACACATGCGACATGCAAACAACGACTTGACATGCGTGTTGTGAAAACTCGCTAATGTCTTGACCGACACAAACCATATTGTGACACACCATTCAAGCACACACAAAATCACTAGATAGCAATGACACAGACTCACAAGTCATTCTATGCCATGCATGCACACACACGAACAAGGACGACAGGCCGAGTGCAAGCCATATGGTTGCACCAACGAACTCCCCCTCAGATTGTTGGCCTTGGAATCTGCTCCCCTTAGTTCAGAGCCATCCCAGCAAGCTTGCAACACTTCCAATGCTGCTGCTCAACCAGCCTCTTGGTTACCATGTCAGCAGGCTGCGCCGTCGTCTTCACGTAGTGCAATTCCACTTCACCCGAAGCTACCATGCTTCTCACCCAATGCCACTTCACCTTCATGTGCTTGGTAAGGCCATGAAGAACAGGGTTTTTAGCCAATGCAATAGCACCATGGCTATCACAATAGAGTGGGGTATGTCTTTGCTGCTCCTCCCCCAATTTAGCGAGCAAACGCCGCTGCCACACAACCTCTCTTATGGCACGGAAGAGTGCCATGTACTCGGACTCCACCGAGCTCAATGCTTGGTCCACTTGTCTCTCCCAAGCTGTTGGGCCTCCACCAACATAGCAGATCCTCCCACACTTGTCATATCCTTTGGTTATGATGCCCAAGATGCATCAGAGAACGTCGTGAGAAAGAGCCTCCCGGGTTCGACTCCATCCGCACCCTTTTGACGCCTTTGTGCCGCCGCGGAGTATTGCAGTCCAACAGCTGCTGTTTGGCCAAGGTACTTGGACACTCTCTCTCCAGCTACTATTTGCTCTTCATTAGAGCATTGGAAAACCCTAGCCAGCTGCCCGGTAGCAAAGGCTGCACTCGGCCTTGTGTGAACGGCCGCATACATGAGGCTGCCCACCAAGGAGTGAAAACGGCACCTTTCCTCTTCACCAACACTTTCCTCCGCTGGTCCTTTCACACACTTGAGCCCCGAGGGTAGAGGAGTAGCCACATGACCTTCACTCTTTCCAAAGTTTGCAGCCAAGGCCTCCAAGTACTTCTTTTGATGCACTCGCATCCACCGCTTCTCCACATCTCGCTCAATGTGAAGCCCAAGGTAGTAGTTGACATCACCGAGGGTCTTGCACTTGAACTTGTCTTGAAGCTTCAGCATCACCTCCTTCACAAGGTCAGAGGAGGGTGAGAATATGAGCATGTCATCCACATAAACCACCATGAAGCTCCTCTGCTCCCCCTCGCAAAGCATGAACAATTATTGATCGGCCGTTGAGGGAGTGAAGCCGATCGCCTCCAAGACTTCCCGCAGCTTGATGTACCATTGCCTAGGGGCTTGCTTGAGGCCATAGAGTGCTTTCTTCAGCTTCCACACTCTGCCACTCCCATCATTGTACCTTTCTGGCTGCTCCATGAAGCTCTCTTCCTCCAAAACTTCGTTGAAGAAGGCCGTTACTATATCCATTTGTTTCACCACCCATCCTTTGATGGCCGCCGCGGCGAAGAGAGTTCGAAGGGTTGTACCCTTCACCACAGGAGCATATACTTCATTGTAGTCTTTTTTCTCCAGCTGCTGGTACCCCTTGGCTACAAGTTTGCTCTTGTAGCGCTCAATGTTGCCGTCGGCATCGGTCTTGTGCTTGAAAAGCCACTTGGAAGAAATCGCCTTGCGCCCCGGAGGTAGGTTCACCAAGTCAAACGCGTCGTTCTCTATGATGCTCCCCATTTCTTCATCTGAGGCCTTCTTCCACTCCTTCCCATTGGGGCCCTCCCAAGCCTCCTTGGGATTTGTAGGCTCCCCCGGCATCTCCACCGGAGAGAAGAAGGCAAAAGCACACTCCTCGTTTTCATCTTCCGCATTATCGCCTAGCATGAGAGCCGAACCGGTCAAGGTTGAGTTGGCTGGTCTTCCAAGCCGGTCATAGCTCACTCTATTGGGGGGCTGAGTCTTCCTTCTCCCCCTTCCTTCCTCCTCTGCTGCAGGGACTTGGATGCTCTCATGGCGTTGCTGCAAATCTGGTCGGTTCCCGCGAGCACTTGTAGCACGAGGCGGAAGTGGCGGTGCACGCTCATCACCTTGCTGCACCTCCTCCTCCACTTCTCCCCCATTCATTTGAGGAGATTGCCTTGTGATTGTGCTGCTGCTACTCAGCTCCAAGGGCAGTTCCAGATGCTCCAAGCCGGTACTCTTCAGCTCTCCAAGCCGCACACCAATCTTCGCTTGGTTATCCGCCTTCCACTCCTTGTACGGTAAGTTCTCCATGAACTTGCAATCTCTACTCACCAAGAACTTCTTGGTAAATGGGTCCCAAAGAAGCCATCCCTTGCTGTTTTGAGCCATGCCCAGGTGCACGACCCATGTTGCCTTGGCATCAAGCTTGTTGTGCCGAAGTTCCTTAGGCACAAGTGCCATGCACATGCACCTGAACACCCGAAGCACATCCACCTTCGGCTTCCTTCCAATCCACTCCACATAGGGCACCCATTTGTCTTCTCCCACGTGAGTCAAGGCTCTGTTCTTGGCCACACAAGCATGCCGCACCGCATCCGGCCAAAAGTAATTGGGAAGACCGGCTTCAATGAGAAGTCCCCGAGCCGTCTCCGTGAGTGTCCGATTTGCACGCTCGGCGATGCCATTCATTGCAGGAGAGTAGGGCATGGTGAGTGAGTGCCTTATGTCCTGCTTCTTCAGCCAATTTGAGAAGTCCTTGCTTAGGAACTCTCCCCCATGGTCATTGCGAATCGCCTTCACAAGCCGGTCTTGTTGCCGCTCCACCATCGGCAACCAATCGGTCTTCACCGTTTCAGCTACGTCACTCTTCTTGGGCAGCACATACACCCAAGTCATGCGAGTGTAGACATCCACAATGGTGAGGAAGTACTCTGCTCCAGCAGCTCCAAGCTTCAAGGGGCCCACCACATCCATCACCACCTCATCAAGTGGTGCCTTCGCCGTTGTTTCCGAGCTATGGAACGAGTAGCGGATGAACTTGGCTTGCATGCATGCTGGACAGCCAAGCACCTTATTGGGCTCCCCCTTGACACGTATCCCACTGACCATCTCTTGCTTAACTACAGTGACGGACACAATTGTTCGGATGTTTTGCACTAGCTATGGTTTTTGGGCATTCCGACCACTGTACATAAACTCTTAATGTTTAATGGTGGCACGCTTTGGGAGGGGCACATAGTGGATGTGTTCATAGTACTATAAGCTATAATAGTACACTGGATGTAACTTAGTGCCAAAATATATCCAAAGAGTACATCTAGACAATTGTTTCCCAAGACAAAGGCAAACTTCCAAACAGCGTTCCTAGTACCTAGTCCACCGACCCTTAGCCTTGATCACCACCCGTACCCTCCTAGGCATGTTGTCTACGAGGTTCGTGCAAACCTTTGCAGGGAGCTTCTTGCACTCTTCCTGTACCCACACTTTTGCATAAGAGGGTGAGCACTAGGAAAATCGCGAAGGATTTTCGCGTATGCAAAAGAAAGGTGCATGCTTTCTGATTGAATGCGATCTCTTATTCTTGCCATGCTGAAGTGTGACCAAAGATACCATTAACCGATTGGTCGCGTCTTTTCATGGGTCGTCTCCGTCGTATCGTTGTAGGGTAAAACCATGATCAGAGCGGGGAAAACTAGCGTATACGCCGTGAAACTGAGGGTAACATAGCACGGTCGATTGTACACCCTTGCACTATTAGAATCACGCTAGGGTCTGTAGGTCTCGTCACGGTGCAGCAGTCGAAGAAGTCACGACTGTTCGAGATGAATGCTTGAGGTGAGGTATGGTAAGGAAAAGGGTTACTCCAACGCAACATACTCATGCTCTCCAAGCCATTCCAAGCCATTTGACCCACCTAGGCTTGGAATGGCTTGGAGAGCATGAGTACGTAGTACTAGAGTGACCCTCTTCCTCACCAGACCTCAACCCAGATATTTTTCCCCACCAGCCGAGGCTTCTTCGACTGCTGCACCGTGACGAGACCCGTGGATTTCAACGTGATTCTAATAGTGAAAGGGTGCACAGTCGATTGTGCTATGTTACGCTAAGTTTCGAGGCGGATGTGTTAGTTTTCGCCACTCTGTTCCTAATTTTACCCTGCAACGGTATGACGAAGACGACCCATAAAAAGACGGGACCAAACGGCTAATGGTCCCATCTTTTCATGAAAAGATGCACCTTTGCGTGGCTAGTCTAAGAGATCACATTCAATCAGAAATCGTGCACAATACTCTTGGATACGCTCAAATCCTTCACGATTTTCCTAGTGCTCACCCCTTTATGCAAAATGGTGGGTCCAAGAAGAGTGTGAGAAGATCCCTGCAAAGGTTTGCACTGACCTCGTAGATAACATGCCTAGGAGGGTGCGTGTGGTGATCAAGGCCAAGGGTCGGTGGAATAGGTACAAGAAACGCTGTTCGGAAGTTTGCGCTTTGTCCTGGGAAACAATTGTCCGGATGGACTCTTTGGATATCTTTTGACACTAAGTTAGATTCATTGTACTATTATGGATTATAGCACTATGAACGCATCCACTATGTGCCCCTCCCAAAGCGTACTACCATTTAACATTAAGACTTTATGTACAGTGATCGGAATGCCCTAAAACCCTCGTTAATGCAAAACATCCGTACAATAATTTTCGTCACTGTATCTGCTGCAAAACGGGCAATGCCACATGCCCCATTCGCCGATGCAAGGTCAGCCAATCTCATTCTCCAGTAGCGGAGAAGCACGTTCTTAGGTTGGGCACCCAAAGCACGTTCTTGAGGCCCACCATCTTCCTATCAGCACCCTTGAATATGGCCTTGCCCATGCCTTTCACCTCTGCTCGCTGCCCCAAAGCCGATTGTAACATGCTTGACCGGCGACGGTTCGAGTTCGGTGAGCAAGTCCGCACAAGGTGTCATGCTATAGGTGGCGCCGCTATCGATCACCCAAAAGTCCAGAGAGTGAAGGGTGACCTTTCCCATAGTAGCTGGCTCCTTAAAGCCTTCCACAGCTCCTGCTGCAGCTGTCGCTTGCGTGGAGACAAAGAAGAATTGGCCCGGGTATCGATCTTCACTCGAGCCCGTCTCGTAGTCTCCACCTTTCATGCTTGCTGCTTCGCTTCCACGACCACCACGGCCTCCATGACCTCTGCCTCTTCCTCCTCTTGATTTTCTGCCCTCTTGGCCTTGAGAAGGGGTCCATCCATCAGGCAATCTGTAGCAATCTCTCCACATGTGGCCGGTCTTGTGGCAAAAAGTGACATTCACCGTCAAATTGACCGCGCCCACGCCCGTAGCCATTGTTGTTGTTGTTACTGCTATATGCTCCATTACCATGGCCTCCGTTGAAGCTACTACTGCCAAATCTGCCTCCTCGCCCTCTGCTCCTTCCACGGCCGTGCCCACGGCCCATGCTTGCAACTCCGGCACCATCACGATCCGCCAATTTGCCCGCTTCACATCTTCGAGTGAGAGGCGGGGCAGATCTCGATTTAGGTTGATGATGAGCGAGGACCATGAGTCCGGAAGTAAGGCCAGTAGCTTGGTCTTCTTTTGAAGGTCACTGTAGTTCAGGTCAGCTCCTTTGAGCCGTGTCAACAAGTCGAAGAATTTCTGCACTCCTTCCTCCACCGGTTCTCCTTCGTCAACTCGAAGTGCCGCCATTTGCCGCTTCAAAACCACAGCCACCACCGCTGTTGCAGGAGTGTGTACACCTTTGAGAGCAGCCCATGCCTTTGGTCCCTTTGCTGGTTTACGCTGAAAAGGCTTGATGTGATGGATTTGGCTGCTCCCCAACGCTTGCCCAAGTAGAAGATAGCCTTGTGCGCTCTTCCGCACCCACGGTCTCTTCTCCGGGCCGTTCTCGGGGCGCTTTTCCGTTCCTTCCATCACCTCCAACAGGTCATAGTTGTCAAAGATGTTCTCCATCTTGAAGGACCACTCAGCAAAGTTGTCATCGTTGAACTTGTCAAGGCCAAACACTCTAGGCTCATCCCTAGAGGGGCCAAGGCTAGGTTGCACGAGAGCAATGGGTGGATCTTGGTGTTGGCCTTGTACTTGGGCATCTTCTTTGCCTCCAGCACCTCTGCCACCCCCTTCCCCAGATCTATGCATGGTCGAAATGGCTCCAAGGGGCTCTGATACCACTCGTTATTGTCACAATAGGCTCAGATGTGCCTAAAATGGGAGATAGAAAGCACAGTCGGATTTCCGTCAGACGGCTTCAAATATTGATAACGATCTGATCGGTACCTCAAACAGTGATCTATAATTTGGATCTGGAGCGCGTTGCTGTCGCCTATCAGCAGCAAATTGAATCATGGAATTCCATGAAGATTTGACGACGCTATGGCGGTTTGACTGGCAGAGGTATAGCAGTCATTATAGTCTTAGAAGTACAAACTTAGCAAGACGAATTGAGATTGAGATAGTTCTCAGCCTCTACAAGCCCCAAGAGCCGAGGTCCAGGGTGGTGGTACACCACTACAGAGTCCCCAACCACGAAGGGACTCGAAACAAACTCAACAAGGGGCTGGACCACGTGAATTGTAACAATTTTCACTATTTTAATATTTATCCAATTCCCTTGGGCTTGAAATCTTGAGCTCTTGGTCTTGATTCTGCAAGATAAATTCTTCTTGAGTTGATAAGGGCTTGCTGCACACACCTGCGACGCGATGGACACTTCATACTTGACAAAATAAAAAAACACATGCGACACTCAAACGACGATTTGACATGCGAGTTATGAAAACTCGCTAATGTCTTGACCGACACAAACCACATTGTAATACACCATTCAAGCACACACAAAATCACTAGATAGCAATGACACAGACTCACAAGTCATTCCATGCCATGCATGCACACACACGAACAAGGACGACAAGCCGAGTGCAAGCCATAGGGTTGCACCAACAGCAGCAGCAGCAGCAGCAGCGATGGGGGACCGTGAGCACTTGGGGTGGTGGCTCCGGGGTGCTGGCTCTGGGGGTGCTAACTCTGGGGGTGCTGACTCTGGGGTTGCTGGTTTTGGGGGTACTAATCATGGGTGTGCTGTCTCAGAGAGTACTATCGGTAGCAGTTGTGGGGCTTGGGGCTCTGTCGTGGGCCGGGAGCAGCAGCAGCTAATCACATTCTGCCCTTCATCTCATTGCTATTTTCTCCTCCGTTCCCTGTACCATCCCCTATTACCCACCCATGGGTGCGTCGTCCCCCTGGTTGTCGTCTTGTCTCTCCCCGTGCCCATGTCCACCATCCTTCATTCTCGTGCTCCACTAGTCCCCGTCCTACTGTTACCTCCCTGGTCGTTTCTACCCCTGTCAATTACTCTTCCCTCCAACTCTTCTCGCACTGCTCATCCAGTTGTCTCCCGCTTGCTTGCCTCTCTTGTTACGGACACTACGGCTCCTCCTGCTAGTGTCGCTGCTTTCGCCGACTTTACTGCGAGCCACCCCCTTGACTACGCCTTTGCTCTGGCCTCGGGCCCTGCCCATCCTTTGTTCGTTGGGGCTGCACCTGCCCTATGCTGTGACGTTCTAGAGGATAGGCAGTACAAGCCGGCTTTCCTTGCAGCTGCTGCACCTCATCTTTGCGCCATGCTAGTGTCCTCTGGGCCCTAGCAGCCTAGTGGATACATGCCATGGAGGCAGAGATGGCATCTTCTAGATCCACTGGTACTTATCTCGATGTGCTGTAGTTCCTCCACCTTGGGCGAACACAGTCAATGATATGTGGATGTATAAGGTGACGCGCCCACCTGGAGTGCTGTCACAGTTCAATGCGCGACATGTGGCCAGTGGCTTCACCCTGCGAGTGGGTGTGGTCTTCTTCCAGACCCGACTACTCTTCAAGTGCTTCTCCATATAGCCGCACATCGTGACTACGAGCTCCACTCTTTGGACTTCTCGACAACTTTCTTGTAGGGCAGCCTACACGAGTAGATCTACTTGCGGCGCCCATCAAGCTTCACCGAGTTCTTCGCTCCTTGGATCCAGTGGAGCCTGCGCCACCCTGTCAACGGTCTGCAGCAGGCGCCCCGTGAGTGGCACGCCACGCTCCGCACTACACTCGCGACTCTCCAGTTCTTCCCATTCTCTGCTGACCCCTCGCTCTTCGTTCGTGCTGGTCAAACTCCTTTCTACATCCTTGTGTACGTGGACAACCTTATCTTTCCTACACTAGACATGGTTGCACTGGCCTCGGTGAAGGCCAAGCTGCTTAGATTATAGAGGGTACAACACTAATGTAGGAACCACAGCCTGCACGTCCTCATCATCCGATTGTTATCTGGGTTCCCCCTGGTTGAGTTCTCCACTTGGTCAGATGGAAACTGTGACCAGCTGGGACTTGAGCCCTAGGCTCTCAATACATAAGGTAACACCTCCTGCACTAGATCAGTAGGCAAATCGATGGTTAACAAAGGTCACACTGATCGCATCAGAGCGAGATGCCATGAAGGGATGTTAGGGCGTTTTCCTACGCACTGGGATTAGAACCAAAATGAACCGCACTGAAGCACGATTCCAACACTTGGACCGCATTGTACCATGCAGTATGATCCTAATCCTTTTTCATTTGAATACGCCCTTGATTATATGCAGGGCGTGCGGCTGCGGCTGCGGCTGCGGCTGCGGCTGCGGCTGCGGCTGCGGCTGCGGCTGCGGCTGCGGCTGCTGCTGCTGCTGCTGCTGCTGCTGCTGCTGCTGCTGCTGCTGCTGCTGCTGCTGCTCCTGCGACTCTTGCCGCCTCTGTTGGTCGCCTTCCACCAAGGCCAAGAAGGAAGAATGATGCATTCCTGCTGAGTCGTGGGCTCCCAAGAGCAAACCAGGAAGAAACCCGTGCTGCTGCTGCTGCTGCTGCTGCTGCTGCTGCTGCTGCTGCTGCTGCTGCTGCTGCTGCTGCAGGGGCTGTTGCTGTTTCTGCAGCTGTGACAGCTGCTGCTGGTCTTGCTGGAGCCTCATTTGCTGCAGCAGCAACAGCTGTGACTGCAAGAAGGAAGCTGTACTAGCTGCAGCAGCTGCAGCAGCAGCGTCCGCATTAGCGCCAACCTCCCTCCCCTCTACCAACAGCTGTCGCTGCAAGAAAGAAGCCCTAGTACCCGCTGCTGCAGCATCAGCGTCGGCCGCCCTCCCCTCTACCAACAGCTGTGACTGCAAGAAGGAAGCTGTACTAGCTGCAGCAGCGGCAGCAGCGGCAGCCCCCCTCGTTGCGCTCTCGTGCAAGCCTCTCATACCCACGACTCTGTTTCCCATTCCTGCCATTCCCACGGCATCACCCTCCCTTCGTGCGGAGCTCTCGTACAGGCCTAGCATCCCCACGCCTCTGCTCCCCATTCCTGTCATTCCCTCAGCATCACTCTCTCTCACTGCACTCTCTTGCAACCCTCTCATTCCAACGCCTCGGCTTCCCATTCCGGCCATCTCCGTTTCCATGCCTATCCCCATGCCTGTCCCCAAGCCTGTCCCCAAGCCCAAGCCTGTCCCCATGCCTGTACCCATCCCTGTCATTCCTGTCATCCCTTTTCCCATGCCTGTCCCCATCCCTGTCCTCACGACTGCTCTCCCCTCCTCCATCCTCCCTCCAGCTTTCCACCAGCTCTCATCCCTTCTCTCTTCCTCTTCCCTGGGAATTCTGCTTCCTTCCCTTGGCCTTGGACTTTCTTCCCTCTCCCATATCCTTCCTTCCCTTTCCCTTCTTCTTTTTTCCCCTGACCTTGACCTTTCTTCCCCTGGTCTTGTCCTTCCCTTCCCTGGCCTTGTCTTTTCCTCCCCAGACCTGACTTTTGCTTCTCCTGCCCGTTTTCTATCATCTCCTGACCGGAATTCAAACAGATCGAGCAGACGAGATGAAGGAGCGGTCATGGGTACTGCATCCTCTACAGAATATGACTCTAACGGTACTGCTCGAAATTGTGACTGTAGAGAAGATGCTTGTAACGGGGGATGAACAGCGGAAGCAGCAGCAGCAGCAGCAGCACCATGGGCAGCAGGATCACGCAGAGATCTGGGCGGCAGCAGTGATAGCGTTTCCAAACGATGCCGCCCGATGCTCGGAGCAAGCGCTCCTGCTGCTGCCTCCTCTGCCGTCTGCCACCTGGAGCCGGACGCTGACGTGGCAAGGAGGGGTGATGACGCGGCCATGATAGGCGAGTCAAGGAGAGCGGATTCGATATGAGAAGGAGGAGGAAAAGGAGGAGGAGGAGGAGGACGAAGAGGATGAGGAGGAGGAGGAAGGGGAGCAGGAGGAGGATGTGGAGAGGTACTAGGTACTAGGTACTAGGTTAGCGACCTGTGTCATTCTATGCACAATGCTCTTGTGAATGCTCTGTGTCTGTCAGAGAGTTGTTATGAATTCTGCCGCTGCCTCTTGCCTAAAGACTCCGTCCCTCTTTCCTCTTGCGCCTTGCCGTTTGGAGAGTTGACATTTGCAGAGGTCTGGGATGCGGATCTCAGGAGCAACCCCAGCTCCAATCCCCCGGACATCCCACCCCCCTGGTGACCAATTCCAGCTTGGACTGAAGATGCAGCAGCAGCACCAGTGAACTGATGCCCAGCAGGTATGGCAGGAGCAACATCTGTTTCCAAAACTCCTCTTACTCTCTCTCTCCCACTCCCCCTACCACTCTCTCCCCCACTCCCTCCCCCACTCCCTCTCCCGCGCTCCCGGCCTGCAGCTACAACCACGTACGCCTTAGCAGCTTCCTCAGAAGAAACCCTGTCAGCGTGTGCTGTTATGAGATGTAGCGGGATGCCCATGGCTGTTGTGCGGAGAGCAGTGGCCAGGTGTACAGGGTCGTGGTCATTGGCATAGTCGTTGGCATTGTCGGGGTCTGTCACAGGCAGACTTGCCACCACCTCGGTATCCGTTATGGCTGTTGAAGGGGGCGTTAATGATGGTGCTGTTAGTGAAGGAGGCGTTAATGAAGGTGGCGTTAGTGATGGAGGTGTCATTAAAGGGGTTGTTAATGATGATGGTGTAAATGAAGGGGGTGTTAGTGAATGTAATGTAGCAGGAGGTGATGCTATTGAAGGTGGTTTTAACGAAGGCAGGGCGTTATGACGCGGAATCGACCCGAGGTACTGCAAGCTCAGTTGGCCCTGTGTGAGGCTCGGACCGTGGCTGAGGCTGGGCTGGCTGCGTGCACTACTGGCTATTCTCTGCAATTGAGGCTGTATGGAACGAGCAGCAGGAGCAGCAACAGCAGTGGGAGCAGCAGCAGGATCAGCGAAGGAAGAAACGAAAGCAGCCATAGCAGGAGGTTTTGCAGCAGCTGCTGGAGGAGAAACGGCATGCGCGGCTCCAGCTTCGGCAGCAGCTTCGGCGGCAGCTGCAGAAACGCCATGTCGCGAGCCCGGCCTAACTATAGTACGACCCCCAGCAGTGGCAGCAGCACTAGACATACCGATACTAGCTCCAGCACTAGCTGCAGAAGCAGCAGCACCGGCGCTAGCACCAGCACTAGCAGCAGCAGCGCTGCCAGTGCTGGCGCCTGAAATGGAAGGGAACTGCAGGCTCGCCTTATAGCCTGCCTTACTGCCAGCCTTACTGCCTGCCTTACTGCCTGCCTTACTGCCTGCCTTGCTGCCTGCCATGCGCTTGGATGGGGCGAATGGAGAGGCTTGAGAGGAGGAGAGAACAGGGCGAGATTCAGAAGCAGCTGCATTCGCACTACCACCAGCACCAGCACCAGCCCCAGCACCACCACTACTACCAGCGCTCCCTCTCCTTCTTTCATCTGACCTGATTCCACCTCCTCCTCCTCCTCGTCCTCCTCCCCCTCCTTCCCCCCCTCCTCCTCCCCCTCGTCCTCCCCCTCCACCTCGACTTCCTGCTGCTCCTGCCTTACCCGCCGCTGCAGCAGCTGCACCCTTCTGCGACGTCCTCTTGCGTCGTGCCACGTGGCACGTCATGTGCCCACCGAGCGCCTGTGACGTGGGGAACGTATTGCCACAGATAGGACAAGAATACCCGCCCGGCCTCTGCCCCGGCATATTTGGAAGCGGACCTGGGGGAAGCTGAGATGGTAGCTGGGCGGCAGCTGATGACGGGGCACTGAAACCAGCCCCAGATGAAACTGTAACGGGTGGAGTTAACACGGGAGTTGAAACGGACTGGCGTAACTGAACATGCTCATTTGCTGCTGAAGATATCAGTTCCGAAGCCGAATTGAAAAGTAATCCTGATGCAAGCCCCCTTGCTGCAGTACCAGCACCACCAGCACCAGCACCAGCAGCAGAGGCACCACCAGCATCAGCACCAGCAGCAGCACCAGCCATTGCAGCTGCTGCCGCAGCGGCAGCGGCAGCAGCAGCCGTAACAGTAGTCTTCTCTGGCGAAAAACTGGCCCCTGGTGCTCCTGCTGCTCCCACTGCTCCTGCTGCTCCTCCTGCACCTCCTCCTCCTCCTACTGCTGCTGCGGCTGCTGTGGCAGCGGCTGCTGCACGCCATGAGGACAAGAGGGCTTGCACGTGGTCACTCAAGACATTGGGATTCCCATGCTGCTGCTCTGTCGCCTGAACCTGCAGCTGTGCCTGTATCTGCGCCTGTAGCTGCGCCTGTAGCTGTCCCTGCAGTTGTGCCTGCAGTTGCGCCTGCAGTTGTGCCTGTAACTGTGCCTGTAACTTTTCCTGCTGTTTGGCTGCCTGCTGTTGTGTCTGTTGCGGTGGGTCTTCTTGCTCCTCATGGCCCCGTTTCGCTTGCTGCCCAAGTCGCTGCTGCAGCAACAGCAGCTGCTGCAGCTGCCGCTGCTGAAACTCCTGCTTCTGCTGCTGCTGCCAAAGACTCTGCCGCTGCTCTTGCGGATGCCACTGCTGCTGCTGCTGCTGCTGCTGCTGCTGCTGCTGCTGCTGCTGCTGCTGCTGCTGCTGCTGCTGCTGCTCCCATAGACGCTCTTGCTGCTGCATCTCTTGCCGCCTCAGTCGCTGCAGCTCCTGCCACTGCTGACTCCCGAGTTGCTCTTGCTGCAGCAAGGCTTGCTCTTCAGCCTCCTGCTGACTGGCTTGCGTCTGCGTCTCTTGCCGCCTCTGATGCTCCCCCTCCACCAAGGCCAAAAACGAGGCATGATGTACCGATTTTTGGGATGATTGCTCCCGCTGCTGTGGCTGCTGCTGCTGCTGCTGCTGCTGCTGCTGCTGCTGCAGGGGCTGTTGCTGTTTCTGCAGCTGTGACAGCTGCTGCTGCTCTTGCTGGAGCATCAGTTGCTGCAGCAGCAACAGCTGTGACTGCAAGAAGGAAGCTGTACTAGCTGCAGCAGCTGCAGCAGCAGCGTCCGCATCAGCGCCAGCCTCCCTCCCCTCTACCAACAGCTGTCGCTGCAAGAAAGAAGCCCTAGTACCCGCTGCTGCAGCATCAGCGTCGGCCGCCCTCCCCTCTACCAACTGCTGTGACTGCAAGAAGGAAGCTGTACTAGCTGCAGCAGCGGCAGCAGCGGCAGCCCCCCTCGTTGCGCTCTCGTGCAAGCCTCTCATACCCACGACTCTGTTTCCCATTCCTGCCATTCCCACGGCATCACCCTCCCTTCGTGCGGAGCTCTCGTACAGGCCTAGCATCCCCACGCCTCTGCTCCCCATTCCTGTCATTCCCTCAGCATCACTCTCTCTCACTGCACTCTCTTGCAACCCTCTCATTCCAACGCCTCGGCTTCCCATTCCGGCCATCTCCGTTTCCATGCCTATCCCCATGCCTGTCCCCAAGCCTGTCCCCAAGCCCAAGCCTGTCCCCATGCCTGTACCCATCCCTGTCATTCCTGTCATCCCTTTTCCCATGCCTGTCCCCATCCCTGTCCTCTCGACTGCTCTCCCCTCCCCCATCCTCCCTCCAGTTTTCCACCAGCTCTCATCCCTTCTCTCTTCCTCTTCCCTGGGAATTCTGCTTCCTTCCCTTGGCCTTGGCCTTTCTTCCCTCTCCCATATCCTTCCTTCCCTTTCCCTTCTTTTTTCCCCTGACCTTGACCTTTCTTCCCCTGGTCTTGTCCTTCCCTTCCCTGGCCTTGTCTTTTCGTCCCTGACTTTTGCTTCTCCTGCCCGTTCTTTATCATCTCCTGACCGGAATTCAAACAGATCGAGCAGACGAGATGAAGGAGCGGTTATGGGTACTGCATCCTCTACAGAATGTGACTCTAACGGTACTGCTCGAAATTGTGACTGTAGCGAAGCTGCTTGTAACGGGGGATGAACAGCAGAAGCAGCAGCAGCAGCAGCACCATGGGCAGCAGGATCACGCAGAGATCTGGGCGGCAGCAGTGATAGCGTTTCCAAACGATGCCGCCCGATGCTCGGAGCAAGCGCTCCTGCTGCTGCCTCCTCTGCCGTCTGCCACCTGGAGCCGGACGCTGACGTGGCAAGGAGGGGTGATGACGCGGCCATGATAGGCGAGTCAAGGAGAGCGGATTCGATATGAGAAGGAGGAGGAAAAGGAGGAGGAGGAGGAGGACGAAGAGGATTAGGGGGAGGAGGAAGAGGAGCAGGAGGAGGATGAGGAGCGGGGGGCGTTGGGCCTGTGAAGGTTCTAGGAGCTGTTCTCATTCCCCTGGGAAAACGGATAGCCCCAGGGGAAGGGAGGTCGGGGGAAGTTAGGACAGGGGAAGGAAGGACAACAGGGGAAGGGAGGAGAGAAGCCGATGACGTCATCACAGTGTGAATGGTCGAGAGGGAGGAGGAGGAGGAGAGCCAACCCGTCCGCTCCGGTGCAGGCGGATCCGTTACAAGCAAAAGCGAGCTTCCCTTCTGCTGCTGCTGCTGGTCCCGTTCTAACTGCGGCGAGGCGGCGGCGTCAGTGAGTGCAGCGAAGGGGAGAAATGGCGGCGGCCGCTGGAAGAAGAAGTTCCCAGCAGTGGCTAGCCCAGTACCTGCTGTGGCTGCGCCTGTGCCAGCAGCTGCGCCAAGAGCGGCACTCAGCGCTGCGCCTGCTCCCATGCCTGCACCTGCAGGGGGGGATGCGCCTGTGCCCCCTGCGCTGCTGCCAACTGCACTGCTGACGGCGGCAGCAGCGGCTGCGGCGGCGGAGGAGGCGGCTGCGTTGAGGGTGGGGTTTAGGGAGAAGCGCGGGCCCGGCGGAAAGGCAGGACTGGGCGCAGTAGTAGTAATAGTAGCGGTGGCAGCGGTGGCAGCGGTGGCAGCGGTGGCAGCAGCAGCAGCAGCAGCAACAGCAGCGGCTGTGGCCGCGGAGGAGGCGGATACGTTCAGGGTGGGTTTTAGGGCGAAGCGCGGCCCCGGCGGAAAGGCGGGACTGGAAGCAGTAGTAGCGGTAATAGCGGCGATGGTAGCGGTCGTAGTGGTAATAGCGGTAGTAGCGGTGGCAGCGGTGGCAGCAGCAGCAGCAGCGGAGGAGGCAGCTGCGTCCAGGAAGGGGTTTAGGGAGAAGCGCGGCGCCGGCGCGATGCTGGCAGCAGCGGCAGCGGCAGCGGCAGCGGGGGCGGCAGCAACGTGGTTCCGCTGGGCAGCAGTGGCAGAGGCAGGGGCAGCAGCGGCAGCGGCCACGGCGGCGGCCGCCACCACCGCTGCCTCGGGTGGCGGAGGCGGCTGCTTGGCACCAAATGTGAGCATCTGAAAAAGAGCACCCGGTGACGCGGCCTGCTCCTGCTGCTGCTGCTGTTGATGGTGCTGCTGCTGCTGCTGCCGCTGCCGCTGCCACAACTGCTGCTGCTGCTGCTGCCCCCCCTTCTCGCCGCAGGCGAAATTCAGCGAAAGGAAACCACCATCAGAAACCGAGCCTAGTAGTACAGCTTGAGAATGCGGCAATCCAGCAGGGGCGGCATCATCCGACAAGAAGGCTCTTGATAGATGCCGCCCCTGCTGGGTACTGCTGTAGCTGCTTTCGCCCAGTCCGAGGCCTCTCTGCTGTTGGTCGCAAGACGAGTCGTCCGTAGTGGTAACATTTTCGTCCCTTCGCCTGTCGCCTGCATCAGGAAGCGGGAGATGATGCAGCCTCTCTTCCCGGCCGTCCGAGGGCGCGTTCTCGGAGTTCAACCCGGAGTTCAAATCGAGGTCCATGCTCGAGTTGTTGTCAACAGGCGAGCTCGTAACTTGCAACTTGAAGTTATATCACCAGAGCCAGTACTCCCCACTTGACGCACTCCACCAACACCCAGAGCTAACTTCCCCTCTCTGGCAAGGAGAGCAACCGTCCAAGCCTTGACAGCAACCGTCAAAGGCTTTCAGAGGCTTTGAGAGGCGTTCAGAGGCGTTCAGAGGCTTTCAGAAGCTTTCAGAAGCTTTCAGAAGCTTTCAGAAGCTTTCAGAGGCTTTCAAAAGGTTTAACCGTCCAAGCGTTTGTCGCCGACTGAGTCACTGACCCGTGGCGGGGTTTCAAGTTGACGGAGGCCGTCTGGAGCTCCTGGCGAAGGAGCCGGCGTCGCTGGTGATGACGACGGCGCCGGTTGAGCTGACGCACTACTGCTGACGGCGCTGGTTGTGCTGACGGCGCCGCTGGCGCTGGAATTCTTGCAGGTTGAAAAGTGGCCGGCTGTTTGGACGGCATTCCGCAGCGATACTATAGTTTCGAGTTCAAGAAATACGTTTCTTGGATTTACTAGATCACGAAGAGGCTTGTTTTAGAGCTCGAGCTCGAGATTTATTCCGCTAGACCGCGTTTAGGTGAGTTAGGTGTCAAAAGATCGTCGACCATCGACCATCGACGCGAGAATTCGGTATTCATGGAAAATCGCCCTAAGTTCGATATTAGTATCCTTCAAGGCTTGAATGATGTGGGATACGACTCGGCGCTGCCGTGTTAACGGTTCGGAGGACGCTTTTCAACTTGAAACTATCTTAGCCTGGAGATCCAAAGAAGAAACCTAAAGCTACTAGCTGCGGGAAACCTCTAGAAGCAGGCGGCTATCAGACTCCTACGAGTCTCGCAACGACTCGAGGTCGTTGTGTGACGACGGTGGTTCGTCTCTCTCGACTAGAAACTCGCTCGCCTGTCGTCAGATGCGCTGGCGTCCCGAACACCCCGCAAATCACGAGCAGCATTTCTACTAAACAGGCACTGAGCAGCCACTTGCGTCGCCGCATCATCGCCATGCGATACCTGATCTGGAAACACTGTATCACCAGCATTTCCCCCAGAGCTTCATGGGGGGTTCCATCTGTTCTGTGTGGCTCAGCTCCGCATGAGCATGCTCAGCGCGTGGTACAAGGGTTGCGCAACCCATCGAAGTTGCGCAACCCAGTCTGGTTACCAGATTCGCCAAAACCCGCATGGCGTGTGAAAGATGGGTTGGGCTGAATTTGGCTGGTTTAGGTTGGGTTATCCGCCAGTTGCGCAACCCGGGCTGCAGTTTCCAGGCAAAGCGCAACCAATGTACCACTCCCTCATGCTTGGGAAAAAAAATTATCTCGCTTCCTGCTAAAACTGGTTATCCACTTCCTGCCGAGATTGGGCGGAGTAGAGTCTCTGGTGCCTGCCACCGGTAGCAGGGAATCTGATCATCACGCGAGATTCGCCTTCGAGATCAACTGTTTTTTTTGTGTGCTCCTACTCACCACGTTTGAAAATAATTCTCCTAGGCACCCTCAAAGTTCTAACTCATGTACTTGCAGTACACTCCGAAAAGCCAAGCCAAACCCTGTTAGCAAAACCCCAAGGGACTCGGGCGATTGTGGATCTTCCAGCAAGGAGAAATGTCATCTCAAGCGCGAGTGCAAGTCTGCCAAGAGTGTAGAGGCAGTTTTCCTGCGTGGCGTGAGAGGGATTGACTTCAATTGGGGTCATTTTCAGCATCACTTATTGCTCAGCTGGTTACAGGCTGGGGCGGGAAGGCGAGTTTACCCTTCGAACTGCACGTTCGGGATTTCTGTACACTACAAAACCCGAAATTTGGCATTCGACTCCCATTTCCAATGTGCGATGTCCCTCTCACTACGGGATTTACTTCAAGTGGACACTGCGGCTAAAAATCGCACGCTGCTCGCATGATCCACATCTGCTTCCCACTTCACCCTCACTTTCAGGACGCTTGGTTCATCCACACACTGGCCACTGTACATTGGCTGGCTAGGGGGCAACTGAGGGCATGATACATCAAATCTTGCTTTAGAAAGCCAGAATTTACCACGCGGCGCGCTCCAGTTACCCTAAAGACCAAAACGTGGGGCAAAACCGACACATGTGAAAAATGGTTGTGTTTTGTAGCGGAGGCGTGTTCTCTATTTGGGATCACAGAGCCTGTGGCGAATCCATGTGTGCAACCAGCAGTCTCAAGTCACGCTTAAAGCGAAGATCTCAAGAAGCGCGAAATCAAATCCAAAGGTTTGGTTTCGGGTTGGCGAAATGAGCGAAACAGTAACAGCGACCCCCCCCAACACCCCTCACCGAACCTCGCAACTTTCGCGACCCCTCGAAACCAAAACCTTTGGGTTTGTTTTTTTGCTTCTTGAGACCCTTGCTTTAAGCTTCTATTACAACATTTGCATAATGAAATGCACCACAGCACACAAATACAACTAGGCGTTTCCAGTCCAGCCGGTCTGAGTGCAATGTTTGAGTCGTTTCTGATTGGTGCATCACAAAATTTCCAGTATCACGCAAACATTCGACACTGAGGGCGTGGAGCCTACGGTTGTGGTTCCGTTTTAGGTTGCACAACTCGACATGGTAACACATGTCGCGAAGTGTCGCGAAAGCTTTTTCGCGAAAACTGGACGTGTGTTGCGCAACCCACGTCCAATCCGGTTCCGAAACCCACTTCCGCAACCAAATCCGAAATCCACGTCCGCGCGAATCAAATTGACAACCACTTGGTCGATAAATCCAACCCTACGTCCGAGGAACATTTCGCCCAACGTCCAACGAGCCCAACATTTTGTCAAAACGGCTCATGGAGAAGGCGAGACATGTCCTGCAATTTTCGTTACAACCCAAAATTGGGCGAAAGGACCACTGTTTCCGATTTCGCCAAAGGTTTAAATTTCGAATTTTGAACATTCCCAACCCAACGTTCCAGGTACGTTTGCGCAATCCCATGTTCCAGTTGCGTTACAGGGTCAGGATTCGTAGGTTGCACAACTGGAAGCGCAACCCACAGATACCCAACCCTAGAATACACGCCTTGATTCACTCAAGTCGTGCTTCGAAGGCTCTACTAAACCAGGTGACAGAAGCAGAGAATGTTGACATGTTCTATTGTATTTTCGTGAAATTCGTAGGGCTCCTGTAACAATTCCGACTCAAAGCACGATAAGGTGTATGCTGGCATAATCACCACATGATTCCTACGACTATTTCTGGCCTTCTAATTGGCCCGGCAATTTGAATTTCAGGTTGGCTTGGTAGCAAGGATGCTGACCTGGCCTCTTTCTTACAGAAAAAGTAACCCTAATGTCAAGAAATTAAGAGTTCAAATTTTATCGCTTCCGTCACATTAAGGTGCAATTTTCCCCCGAATCCGTCCAGCTTACGGAAACAATTTCGCGCGATTCCTTTGCCTAACGAGTAACTATTTTTTTGATTCCGTACGAGCTATTTTCTTTAGGGGCTAGCGATCTCCCCCACCCCCAACAATCCTCCCCCCCCCCCCCCTCCCTCCCTCCCCGCCACCCCCCCTCCCTCCCCTTTGATTCCTTGCCAGCCGAATTTGTATCGGCCGATTCCTTTTCGTAACGGATTTTTTGGGGGGGGGGGGGGGGGGGGGTTCTGTCTGTTAACGGGTTTGCCCAGAGGCGATCCCGTCCCCTTCCGGAATACCCTTGGGCTTAGCGAGAAGCATGACCGCTAGGCGCTTGGGCGGATTTCTTTTAGAATTACATACCTGCATGAAACCTTGTTATAATTTCTGGTGAAGCATTCTCCTGTCACACTGAAATGCTAGATGTGATATGGCAAAGCGGAAATAAGGTGGAATGATTTTCATGGGACGGTGTGGGTAGTTCCTTAATTTCCACCCCAAGACTGCCGCAGTATTTCCAGAGCTCCAAAATCACCAGTACTAACCCGAGAAGTCTTGCAATGGAATAGCAGCTCCCTGTAGATTACCCTGAAATATCATTTTTTAGAACGAGCCGCCTGTACCCTTCGGCATCACCCACAGCAGGGGAGGGGAGGACCCCCTGTCGCAGCAGGCTTGAGCTCTGTCAGCTCAGGTCACCCCTGGTTGAGAGAAGGCATACCAAGGCGTGGCGTGGAATGCAAGGTTGACGCACGGCCAAGCCAGAGAAAAATATCCGCAGCCACCAATCGCAATGCAAAAAAATCATACTGCGTGCGTTCTTGCTCATCTGTGGTGGCTGCTGCTCGTCCTCGACATTTTTTGGCCAATCGTTCAAAGGGCGTCACGTGATAATACGTCATGTGATTGAATCGTATCATCTTACTGTAACGACAGGATATGCTTGCAGCTGCTTGTCATTCTTGCCCGTGCGATGCTGGGCAATGCCACTGATGTGAAATCACGTGATTGTCAATCAAATCTTTTTATTCCGTTTGCGACTTTCAATGCAGAACTGCGATTAGTTTTGACCGGTCAGAGCAACCAAAGGAGACAGTTCATCGGTCAGCATGAAAGTGACCACTCTTCTACGATCAGCGTTCACAAGCCCCCATGTTGAGTTCACACATGGTCTGTACTCGTTGATTACACTGAAAATGATTTAAGAAATTAATAAACGAACCAAAGTCTCTAAGCCGACAAACCAGCTGCACTGCACATGCTGCTGCCAGTAAAGACAACGCGGTGAGAGAAGTTGGAAACAGTCAAACCCGCTTGCTGACAAATCTCATGCTGTGGTAATGCAGTACACCCCAGAACTCGTTATGATCAAAGGTTTTGCACAGAGTGATTCCATTTGTCTCTAGCGGAATTTGACAATACATGACTACCCATGGGGCCCACAGCTGTTGGTATTTTTCTACACCCTAAAACATGTTTCAGGGTACCCGGGAGTCGAACGGTCAAACGCTATGGTAACCACTCAAACAAAAGTCAATTGCGAACCGTTGCGCATGCGCGAGTGCTTCCCATCACGTGGATTGTTCGGTCGCAAATTCCGATTTTCAGGGCTTGAGAAACGGGGATTTTTCTACCCGTTTCTGTCTTTACTTGCTTGGAATAACAGCCACATTCGGTACTGGGTACTCCGAAATTGCGCGGACGCAATTTGATGACAAGCTGATCTGGTCATCGACGCTACATGGTTTTGATCCTACGTGATACGACCAGAACCAGTTTCCAGATGTACAGATTACCTGCCCCATTTTCTCAACGGGCAACCTCCCGAGCCGCGCTACACTTCAGCAAACAACGAGCTACAGTAACTCATCCGACAAGACCCAGCTGCGCAATCGATAAGCTACATTACAGAACACGACAAGCTACAGCGGAACGAGAAAATAGCGCGGGCCGCGGGCAGCACAGCGTGTTATCAGGCGCAAACTGTGTTATGAATTATAACTCTAAGAGTAAAGCGCAGTATTCAACAAGGGGAACGCGACTACACATGATCCCGCTTACAGACATCCGCGCTTGTCGCACAATCACGGTTAAGGACCCATTGCCGTATACACCATGCTCTTATCCCCTAGTGTATGTGCACAATCGCTGTTCAACATGAAACGACCCACAAGAGTCTACTGTACAAGATCGCGCACAGATTACGCGACAACCAATAGGATTCGTGCAGAAGATTACGTTAGCAAAAAACAACAGCCTAGCGAAGTCACTAGAAGGCTTATCGTCAGCCAACGAGCTGACAATACGCCACGTAGACACGGAAGTTTCTAGCATGAACAGATTCCTTTGTTCGAATGAATGAACCAAAGAACACGTCAGCGTTCGCCAGCCCAGTTCACAGGCGTGCTCCAC